CGTAACACTTTGGGCGTAATCACTGCTCGTAGCTCAAAGGCAACGAGCTGAGCCCACGAGCCGGCTCGGCTCGATTGCCACCACTAGGTACGTGGTAGAGTTCGAACTACATCAAACTCAACTTCAAGGTAGAGTTTCTCTGAAAGCATCATTTATCCCACCAATTCAGTAATCCACTTGGGAACCCAATTGTGCTTCTAGGATACAATGAAGTCATCATGTTATCTGTGTTGTCAATCGATAAAAACAACCTAAACATCAAAGATTATGCCTATTTTTGGCTCTCATTATTTCAAAACTCATTTTTAATAACGCATTTTTCAATAAAATAATATTACATGTAAATCGAAAAATTCTCCTTATTTTTTAACAACACAATCTCTAAAAAATACTATTCAAAAATGTTTTTTTTGGCCGAAAAATGGGGCTCGAACAAGGGCTATAGATGTTTGTACTCAAGGCTTTTCCTTTTCTCTCTCGAGAATGACATAGTATAAACATGTTTTATGGAGAGAAAATATGCAAATAAACAAGTTTAGACCCCGTTCGGGAGGGATTAAAAGCCAATTAAAATTGAAAATATAGTCGTTATTGGGTCTCACTCGTCTAATAAAAGTCAACAATAACGACTATATTTTCAATTTTAATCTGATTTTAATCCCTCCTATACAAGGCCTTAATATGTATGAAAAATAAGGAGGCAAATGAATATTATATTTGTTTAGTATCAAAAGTCTTTATCAAGTGAAAACAAGAAATCCATACATGCATTATACATATCCATTCATGTAAAGTTGCAACCTTTCATCTGAATATTTTGGTATAAGAAAGTAATCTTTTCAGATGTTTTTGAATCATAAGAAAAACGACCAAAAAGTGAAAAACATGCCAAGGGACATTAGGTGCTCAAAGAACTTATTCCGATAGCACGCACGCGTCCTTCAATGCATGTGCGCATTGGGAAACAGACCCCAGTGTGCCCTTCCCTGGGCTGGATAGTTTTGCACCGATCGGGCTGTTTTTTCACGTGTTTTAGTTTCTCCTTTTTGCTAAAATATAATCCCCATTATGACTTATAAGTTGTAATTCAACTTAAAGTAATTACCACTTACCAAAGATGAATCAAACCAATCAACTCCAAAATTTGAAAATGTTCCAACATAATGGAAGTGATAGCTCACATTTTGTATTGGATTTTGGTGATGCGTGGTTTTGTACATTTACAAATTGAGTACAAATACATTTATTGAAAAGAGGTTTGAGTCTCGTCTACAAACAAGTTCAAACCTTCTATTGTTAAAAGATAACGAGATTGGATCTTTAAAAGTGGATCAAAGTCTCATCCACAATAAGTTAGTTTTTATTACAAATAGATAGATAATACGGAGAGTCGGTGATGACATTTGCTCTGCAATCACTTGCAGGAATGTGGGATCGAGGCCACAAGAAGAGGAAACTTTTTATGGACAATATTTTTAGGGACCTCAGTATGCCGAAATGTTCTTCTGTTGCAAAATTAAATGTACACATCAATTAGGTCAATTCTCAAGCTCATCTACACCTACAACAAATGTAATATCATGGCAGTCTCTACGATCGGCACCAATTGGGATGGACTCAAAATGAAGTTAAATTATGTAGCAAGAAACCTTTCTGAATGAAATTCTTCAGTAGATTCCCACAACAATGGGTCTCTGGTGACTTCCCCAGCATTGATAATCACTCGGGTTCAAGTTGCAACATCTTATTTTAGTGCCATGGGTTAATTCTTGAGTGATCGGTAATGGAAGTGCCTCCACTTCCATTACCGATCGGTAATGTAGTCTTAGACTCTCTTTGATCGGAGTCATTAAATATGGCATTTTGTCTAAATCTTCCTCTGTTATCTCTAATTTGCTTCCAACTACTAGTCTCACCTTGTTCTCCAATCTCTCCATGGCTTTCGAGTGCCTTAAAAGCTCCGTCATTGTCCACTCTAATAACAGTAAACATGTTTTATGTGTACCAACAGCAAACATGCCCTGTCGTAACTCATGAGAAAAATGATTAGATTCCAACCAAATTGTTTCTCCAATGAAATCTTAAAGAATTAAACTAGTTGTCCATTGATTTCATACAACTAGTTTGATAGATTCATGCGTGCAATTCAAATATACGGACGGATGCATATTTGTCAAAGCAGTTGTACAAAATGGATGTACATCTAACATAATTGAATCTTAAAATGTTGCAAAATAGTGTGCAACATGTCATATGAATATCTTAACACTTACGAAAAAGAAAGACGGGGATTTTTACAAAAAATGATAGATTTGATGGTATCAGTTTCAATAGGGAAACTAGAATTGTCCTCCCTTTTAATTTCTTGCAAGTCCACAAAATCTACTTAATTAATTGATGATCCTGGGGTCAATCCAAAGATTATTATTTTTATAATTTTGCATATTTTTATTTAATAGAAATTATATATATAATCTAAAACTTTCAATTAAATTTACATTACTAGATTTTCTGAAAATTAACAATTATTTTATTACCATCAATCTATTTTAGAACTTCTTTTTGAATAGACACAATGACCAATCAATTCAACATTTTTTAGGACATTGTTAACCAAATGTAGGATTATATCAACTTCACTTTAAGAAACTATTCTCAACAGATGCAATTGTAATTGGTATATTCAATAATAATTTACAAACAATTCACATATTTAAAAAATAATAGTCAATCATTTTAATATAGCAAGCACTTCTATTGTTTTTTAATCTCGTATGACAAACAATTTATCAAGTTTGTAGCTTAAAAATTAGCTATTGCCCATAATATCGAAATTTTTGTTGTGATTCTAGAGAATTTTTCAGACTTATCACACCTACACTTCAAAGAATTATCATCTGTGGTCCTCAATTTTGTTAGAATCAAACAAAAATCTAAAAACATTTTCATATTTTTTGAAATTGTTCAACTCTTAACTTAATAATTATGTCATCACTTTACACCATGTTGCTTACTTTATTAATAATTGATATATTGTATCAAATAATCATGCGAAACAAAAACTAAAAATTCATAATATCAATAAATAAACTTTAATAACTCTAAATGTCTTAAGGTCATCATATGTTGATTGCATTTGAACTTTATTTTGTTTGTAATTTTTTTATGAATTTATATGTAATACTTTTTTTGGGGCCGTAACAAAAGTAGGGATTAAGAACTCATCTACCTCGCCTATAGTCAGGGCTATCACACCATGATCTTTCTTACTTTCTTTCGATTTCTATGCTTTTCGACTACACATGTAAAAAAATTATCCAATGATTTATTCGCTCTCCAATTTGGCATCCCAACCATTGATACAATTACAATGTTTGCAATGAGCTTCTAGTAAAGATCGCTGTGAAACATAATTTGGTTGTTGAAATTGTTGAGCCCAAATAATTGATATGGCCCAAAATTTGTATTAATTCGAGTGATTGACCCGACCCAATATGCTTGAGGTTCTCTCATATAAATAAATAGAGTTTTACTCTCACTAGGTTGGAGTAAATATACTCCCGCTACAATTTTTGTCAACCGCGCCACATTATAACTATAATCATTTTTTGTCAATTTCACCACATTTTAATTAGGGATAATTGCAGCAAAAGCCCAAAATCTTAGAAACATTAGTAGACTTTTCCCAAATCTTTGATTTGTTGCAGTTGTCACACCTAACATTTCCAAACGTTGCACGTGATGCCCCTTTGGACGGTTTCCATCCATTTCTATGTCATTTGACCACTAAAATAAAAAATTGACTGCTTTCTACCAGAATAGGGGATGACAAAATGGTAACTTACTATTTTTCCCATAAAATAATTAAAAAGTGAGGCCCAAAATCTTAAAAAAAAGAAAAGAAAAAGAAAAGGGAAGAATACATAAATCAGCCATTTAGTTTTACACATTTCAAAAATACCAAAACATGTTTTAAATTTCAAAAATCGGGTTTCTTTATAATTTTAATTATGAAATAATAATTATTAAATTAATTTATTATTAATATTTAATTCTACTATAAAATAATTAACCCACCCCCACCTCCACCACCCCTACAACTCCGGGGATATTCTGGCGACCGTTCCGACCACCACTNCCCCTACAACTCCGGGGGTATTCTGACGACCGTTTCGGTCATCACTCTTCTCCGGTAATTGTTCCAACGACTTTTTTGACGACTGATCCGATTCCGGCGAATATGTTAAGGTCACAGATCTATACAATTTGGTCACAATTCAAAATTTTTTAGGTCACAATTCAAAATTTTCATAGGTCACAATTTGTTTATCGGTCACTACTTAAAAATTTGAAAGTCACAATTTTTTCATCGATCACAAATCACAAAATTTATAAGTCACAATACTTATTTACGGTCACAAACATTGCATTAATCGAACATTCGACGAAAATATTTAGGTCACAATTCAAAATTTTCATAGGTCACATTTGTTCATTGATCA